AATAAGATCTGTATATTAGATAATAGTACTATATCAATGTCAATTTCCCGAGTGTGACAATTACATTGTGGTTATGTGAGAAAATGTCTTTTTTTTTTTAAACTAAATACTCATTAGTAAATATCAGAGTTCTCCAGAGAAACAGACACATAGGAAATATACGGAGAGAGAGATAGAGAAGGATTTATTATAAGGAATTGGCTCACACGATTATGTAGGCTAACAAGTCCCAAGATCTGCCAGGTGAGTCAGCAAGCTGGAAACCGGGAGAGCTGACGGTGTAGTTCCAGTCCAAGTCCAAAGGCCTGAGAACAAAGAGAACCAATGCTGCAATTCCAGTCTGCAGGCCAGCAGGCTGAAGACCCAGGAAGAGTCAATGTTTCAGTTTGAGTCCAAAGGCAGGAAAAAAGCCAGTGTCCCAAATCAGAGGCACTCAGGCAGGAAAGAACTCTCTTTCTCAAAGATGGTCAGCCATTTTGTTCTATTCAGGCCTCTGACTGACGAGGCCCACCCACATTAGGAAGGGCAATCTGATTTGCCAATTTAAATGTTAACCTCATCCCAAAACACCCTTACAAAAAGACCGAGAATAATGTTTGACCCCATATCTGGGCACCCAATAGCCCAGTCAATTTGACACATAAAATTAACCATCCCAAGTACTTAGAGGTAAATGGGGCTTTATCTCTGAAACTTACGCTCAAATGGTTCAGCAAAAAAATTATATGTGTGTAGATAGATACATAGAAATAAAGCAAACCTGATGAAATGTTAACATTTGGATAATCTGTGTATCAGAATGAGGGATCATATATTGGAAAAACTTAATTTTCCACTTGTGTCAGGGAAAACCTTACTTCAGTCTATCTCCTGTGTGTTTCTTCCCTGTGAATCTCCTTCACTAGTCACATAAAACACTTCACTTCCAAATGTGTGCTTTTTCCCCACACCAAGCAATTTTCTGCAACACCAGCTGGGTGGTCTGCAATTTTTTTTGTGAGTTTATTTTTATTTATTTTTGAGAGAGAGAGAGCATGCATGTGAGGAAGGGCAGAGAGAGAGAGAGAGAGAGAGAGAGAGAGAATCCCACACAGGCTCTGCACTGTCAGCTCGAAGCCCCAAAGTCTGGCTGGACCTCACACCATGCGGGGCTTGAACTCACAAACCATGAGATCACGACCTGAGCTGAAATTGGGTGCTTAAATGACTTAGCCACCCAGGCGCCCCCACACCCCTGGCCTACAATTTAATTCAGTTCTGACACTCTCTACCCAGAGATAGCATCAGATCCCACAGGTTAAAGGGCTCGGTCCTATAACACTGTGCCCCCCCCTCCCCCCCCCCCACACGCTTAAGATGCCTGCCACAAGCCCAGGTTGTCTGTCACCTGTGCTTCTGACCAACTGATTATAAATTGAGGTTCCACTGACCCCTCCTTTGGGCTCTATAAATTTGCTAGAGCAGCTCACAGAACTCAAGGTAATATTTTACTTACATTTACCAGTTTATTATAAAAGGATATGATAAAGGATACAGCTGAGCATCCATATAGAAGAGATAAAGCAAGGTATATGGGAAGGGGCTCTCCAGCATGCCACTCTCCTGGCACCTCCACATGTTCACCAACCCAGAAGCTCTCCAAACTCCATACTTTTGGGATTTGATGGAAACTTCATCATGTAGGCATGATCGATCATTAACTTCATTTTCAGCCCCTCTCCCTTCTCAAGAGAATGAGGGCATAACTGAAAATTCCAAGCTTCTTTTTTTAAAAAAAAAATTTAAGGTTTAATTTTGAAAGAGAGAGAGAGCACACACATGTGTGCCCACCGGGACATGAGCAGAGGCCAGGCAGAGAGGAGGGTGGGGGGGAGACAGAATCCCAAGCAGGGTCTGCACTGTCAGCACGGGGCTCCACACAGGGCTCTAACTCACCAACCGTGAGATCACCAAACCAAAATCAAGAGTCAGATGCTTAACTGAGAGATGCAAACTGAGTCAGATGCAAACCGTGAGATCATAACTTGAGTCGGACACTCAGCTGACTGAGCCACCAAGGTGCCCCTCCAGTAGTCCATATCTTATGGAACTAATGCCATCCATCCAGATGCACAAACCTGATACTCATCCTTGACACTTCCCCTCCCATAACTAACCTATCACCACATCCTGTGAATTCCCTCCCAATATATATCTTGTAAGCACAGTTTCTCTCCACCTCTGCCTCTACTGCTGCCACCTTGATCCAAGCCATCATCATCTCTCACCTAGACTGCTACAAGTAACCTCCCAGCTGCTCTCCCTGCTTGCTCTCTAACCTCTCTGACAATTCACACTGCAGCCAGTGATCTTTGCAAAAACACAAATTTAAAGATGGTTTAATGCAATGCATGATCCTTGACTGGCTTTCCAAAAATAAAAAACTATAAAGATCACTAATGAGACAACTGGGGAAATCTATCAACTATCAACTATAGATAACAGTATTATATGAAGGTTAAATGTCTTGAGTGTAGTAATGGTATTGTGATTATGTAGGGAAATGTCCTTGTTCTCAGAAGATACATGCTGAAGTAGATAGTGGTGCAATGTAAATATTTTTGCAACTAATTCCCAAATGATTCAGCAAAAATAATAATTATTTCATTATTGTTATTATATACATACAAATTCAAAGAGAGACAAAGCAAGTCAGGTAAAATGTCAGTGAATCTGGATGAAGGGTAAACAGGGTGCTCATTGTACTAATCTTGCAGCTTTTCTGAAAGTTTAAAAAAAAAATTTTTAAGGGTAGGGAAAATATATGTCATTATGTTAAATTTCTTGAGTGTGATAAGTTTATTGTGGTTATATAGGGGAATATTCTTGTTTTTAGGAGATATATGTTGGAGTACTTAATGGTGAAATGTCTGCTATCTGCAACTTATTTTCAAGTGGTTCAACCAAAAAAAAGTATGTAAATATATTTTTAAAGTATATAGATATATACAAAGTACTTAAATATACAAGTATATATGTATAAGTATATTATATATATAAATGTAAAAAATAGTGAAAGGTAGAAGACGTTGCTTTGGATTTTCTGCAGCTTTGACATTTTTCCCGAATTAGAAGTTGGGGAAAATACTTAGGAATATATGGAGATATAATCGATAAAATATTAAAGATACAAAATAAAATACAAATTGAAAG